CCCCCCCCCCCCCCCCCCATGCGCGTGGATGCGTCAAAAAGCTTTACGGCGGGCTTTATGAACCAGGGCGGGGCGCTCGTGCACGTGTACTTGGACGGGACGGTGCTGGTTAGTCATGGTGGTACGGAGATGGGACAGGGACTCCACACGAAGGTCTGCCAAGTCGTGGCCAACGAGTTCAACATCGACGTGGAGAAGGTATTTTCCCACCAACTATAAGCAAACATTTTGTATCAGTCTTATGCCCTCGAAACCTCGGTGAGTCGTGAGTGTTAGGCTGGTTCACGCTGAGTTGTGCCAGTTGCACAAGCTAGGGGCGCACTGCATCAGAACGCCGAGAAAAGAGTGACCACAACTGATTCATTCCCTCCAATAGATCAATCTACGAAAGATGATCATGCATAGGTGCCCACGAGCATGCCCGATTTTTTGATGCGTACATACCATCAACTCGGCTGGATACGACATCTGCCCGCCATCTGTGTGGGACCGTCGTGACAGGTACACATATCGGAGACGGCAACCGACAGAGTTGCCAACACGTCCCCTACAGCGGCATCCATGTCGACGGATCTGTATGGCATGGCCGCCCTCGACGCGTGCGAGCAGATCACGGAAAGGCTCAGGCCCGTCATGGCAGAACTACCGGAAGACACTCCCTTCGCAACCATCGTCAAGGCGAGCATCACGAAGTATTGTTTGCTGAACTCGAGCCAATTGCGAATAATCGACATTTCTACCAAACCAACCTTCTTCCAAGGTCGGACGTGTTTGAGCCGGCGTGGTGAATAGTGCTGTTGGCTAAGGTAGATCACCGTTCGGTTGGTTATCAACTTATCCGCACTTTAACCACCAGGCGGCGTATTTCCAGCGGGTCCAACTTTCGGCCCAAGGGTTCTACACTGTGCCCGCCGCGCGATGTGGGTACGATTTCGACATGGAGACCACTAACAACAGGGACAGAGGGCTCCCTTTCAACTACTTCACTCAGGTAGGGGAACGGACGACAACGCCACGTCATGCCTCTGCGGTTTCTCATTGCTAGCTCCTATTAACCACTGCCGAATGAATTGAGCGTGTCTTCGACATCTACGCATCTCCGGCCACTTGGCACAATGGTGTCAATAGCTATTTGTTCTGCCACAAGGCTTGGTAATGTTGGTGATTCGCGCGCTGATCACGAGTTTCGCGTGCGCCTAACCACGGGAATCAGAGGGAGCATGTTCTGGACAAGTGATTGTTGGGAACTCGTGGCGAATTAGCCGGTAGCGAAGCAAGTTTGCCCGTTCCTACCGGCCGATTACGTCTTGCTTTTACCGTTGACGGGGTGAAATATGTTGGTTAGAACATGTTCCTCCGTGCAACTTTCTCAGCTGCTGACGATGCTGACGCCACTGCTGCTTCCGTCGCTGATAAGGGTGTTGCGGCCAGCGAGGTGGAAATTGACTGTCTCACCGGAGACGCGAAAGTGATCAGGGCTGACATCCTAATGGACATCGGGACTAGCGTCAACCCGGCTATCGATATCGGTCAGATCGAGGGAGCTTTCGTTCAGGTTGGCATTCGGTGCATGCTCGATCTAGTTGCGCCTTGATCTACAGCATTTTTCCGAACATCAAGATTCGCAGTTGGCTCTATCCAGCTCGCTTTTCACACACTCCACGCAATTCATCGTACGGCACTGTGCATGAGGAGGATTGTCGGGTAGATGAGGCAGCCTTCTTCAATGAACATGGATGGCGTTTTATTTTTGAAATTGGGAAATCATACGACGAACGCCGTTGCGAGCAACGCACAGCAGTATATCGTCTGTGTCAAGTGCCAAGCTTGCCCCAGTCTTGTTTTTTCCTCTCTTGTGTGGGCTTGAAGCAGGGGCGGCCCTCCATCAGATGTTTTCACTGCCCTCGAGTGTTTCGTATGTTGGTCGTACGCGAGCATACATCGTGCTCTTGTTCAACGTGTACCAAATGCTTTTCAGGGCTATGGCTGGTGTACAATGGAAGAAACAAGCTGGGGAGACTCGGAGCATCTCTGGGTAAGACCCGGGCAGCTCTTCACCAAGGGCCCTGGCACGTACAAAATCCCGTCTTTTAACGATGTGCCCTCGGACATGAGGGTCAAGCTCATGGACAGGGCGAACGCTTTCGCAGTCCACTCCTCGAAGGTGACAGAGCACTGCTGTATACTTGATTTTGTTGATGTTGGTTTGTCCTAAGCGCGGCACAACAAAGCACGAGGCCATAAGAACTTCATTCGGTTGAGCGTCCTTCGTGCGGTAGCCGAACCCTCTCCTCCTGCACGATTCCCGAAAAATGATGTCACGAGTGGTGTGCTCGAGAATTCACTCCGGCCATTGGCGGCTAGACTTGGTCAATCTCTTCGTGTTGCGCCCTTCCGAGGCAGTCATGATGAATAGGGGTCTTCACATGTCGATGAAAAGGCATGTAGTGATCGCGTCACCTCGTGGTATTTGTTACCACGTGGTCCGCTTGAAAATGATGACCGGCCTCGTGACGGGGTAAGCGAAGCTTCTGATGCTAAACGTATTGAGGCTTTCGTGTATAGTGCCGCGTTCCTCGTCGAGCCGTAGAGGGTGACAAGCCCGTCAGGGGACCAACAACAGCAGCACCACCATTGCAGTATGGTGACACTCACCTATAACATGTAAGCTTTCCCATCGCTTTGCCATTAGGCCGTGGGGGAGCCCCCGTTCTTCCTCGCATCCTCAGCGTTCTTGGCCATAAAGGATGCTGTGGCGTCAGCGAGAAAGGACCACAACAAAGGCAAAACATCCTATTTCCGACTAAACAGCCCAGCATCTTCCGAAAGGTGGGCGGGACCCATGAGAGAAGGCGTTTTGTGGAATGGTATACTGCCACGTGTTCATTGGGCATTGCGTTTTTTGACGTTTTGGTCTTCGTTCGTAGCCCTGATGTGTAGTTTTGCGGTCGAAGTCCTAAAATCTGTGGCCACAAAGGCAAGAATGCTGCTCTGCTGTCTCTTGCAGCCCAGCACATGACCACGATGTGGGCCTGTCGATAGCGCACGCAGTATGTGGATTTTCTCTCCGTTTGGACTGTTTCAGTTGCACGTGTATTGTCTTTCTTGTGAGAGGCAAATTTTCCAGAGTTCTTTGGTGGGGTAGCAATGTTGCTGTGTTACACTACAATACCTCGCCTCCTTGCGACCGCCTTCCTTTGTTAGGATCCGCACGGCTTGCCTCGATGGCATCATGGAGCGCTCCGCTACCGCAGAAGACGGCGAAGGTCCTGTCCACGTTAGTGACTACCAGGCGAAGGGCTCGTGGTGAAGGTTGTTGCTTTCTCTCGCCTCAGTATGCTGCTGCTCTGCCTGTTTCAGTCTGTATGGAGAGGCTTGATTCACTACATATGAGCTGACGGTGATGAAAATGTAGGCCACATGGTTTGAATATTGGGCGAGCCGTGTTAAAATATATATGCCGTGAATACTAGTTATTGTTTTCGGTTGCTGGATGCAATGAATGGTTTGGTACTGTGTGTATTGTTCGTGTTTCGTACAAGTATGCGGAAAGTTTTATCCGCTCAAGTGAACAATCACCGGAGGAATATTGTCCCTGGGCCGGTTCTCTGGAACATTCCCAGGAACATCCTTTTGTCTACTACGTAGAATTGTTCATGGAACTACTCCAGGACCGTTATGATCGCGGATACTAAGAACGGTGTTTGAGTTACGTAAGAACGGTATTCGGGTCCCGGAATGTTGCCGGACCGATCGCTGAGTTCTTTGGACGTGTGTCTGTCGGTAGGTACCGAAGGATATCTTTTGGACAGGAAGAGAACGCGCTCGCCTACCGAGTTCACTCCCAACTTTCTCTCCCTTCCAAACAATCTCAACACGTCTGTCCTAATCTGAGCAAGGCTCACGATTATTAATAAAACAAGTTAACACATCATCAAAGGTCTTTCACACACTGGTTTAATCACCAGGTGCTCCACCTGTGCACGACGAGAGTAGAGCCTGTTGTGTCAGCAGCATTGCTGCTGCCTGCTGCTGTTTTCCCGCACGCACACAAGTAAAGCCACATTTGCCACAACATATCGAGCCAATATCACCATCAACCATCACACATATTGTTGGTTTCCATGAAGCCTATCGTTCACTGGTATTTGAGTGCCGTGGAAAATCCACGCCCGTCCACGGGAGATACTCAAATCCAGGGAAACATCATTCCCAAACGTTCCTTTAACACCCACGACGAGGAGCCATGTTGCGGCTCGAAACTAGGATCGAAGATTGAGAGGGCTCACTCCCTTGTCCCGCCTGATAACACAAACCTAACGGCAGGTTGTGGGTTCGATTCACTCTCCGGGGTTATTTTTCCTGGGGTGTATTTCCAGCAACCTGCCGTTGAAAGCGATCTACATATGCGTAGATTGTGAGGAAAATTTCCTGGGGTGTATTTCCAGCAACCTGCCGTTGAAAGCGATCTACATATGCGTAGATTGTGAGGAAAATTTCCTGGGGTGTATTTCCAGCAACCTGCCGTTGAAAGCGATCTACATATAGACTATATGCCTAGATTGTGAGGAAAACAATCTGGGCTTCACGGTGGAAAACAAAGGGAAGGGGTGGCTGAGCCCTTATCGCGATAAGAACTGAGGCGAGTACCGCAGGGTACGTCCTTGCTGAGTGATTTGGGGCAAAACCGACAACATCGAACCCACGGCACTCCGAAACCAGTCCGCTCGGCCGTGACACGGTAACACCGAGTTTCGCGCAAGGACAATTTGAACGCAATGAAGAAGCCAGTAGTCAGTCGTCAACCATCGCCTGCAGCGGATGTTGAACAGAGCACCGGCACGGCAGACCAACCACCAACCAATGAACCATCCACGGTGCCCCGATTAACAGAAAAATCGAAACCATGAAATCAGCCTGTACGACCAGCAAGTAAATGAGGGTAACCTACACTATTTGACAAATGGACTAAGCTTCCATGGAAGTCAAAATCTGCTTCCATGGAAGTGGTTCATTGCTTCCATGGAAGTCCATGGAAGTCACCGCGGCTTCCATGGAAGTAAACCTGGCTTCCATTGAAGCCAACCAGCGTCCATGGAAGCCAGTTTTACTTCCATGGAACCTGCTGGTCTGGATCGGGTAGCCAGCTTCCATGACGCTTCCATGGACGCTCATCGAGCTTCCATGGAAGGAAGTGAATCTGCGTCCATGGAAGCAGCCGCTATTTGTTTCCATGGGAGCAGGATTTCGGACTTCCATGGAAACGCGACGAGCTTCCGTGGAAGTGACACTCCCATGGAAGCTCGTCGCTCGACAGAGTCGCTGGAACTTCCATGGAAGCACGATAACTTCCATGCAAGCAACTTCCATGGAAGTAGGCGAAAGCCGTCGAAATCAACTTCCATGGAAGCACCGAAACGTCCATGAAAGCAACTTCCATGGAAGTAGGCGAAAGCCGTCGAAATCAACTTCCATGGAAGCACCGAAACGTCCATGAAAGCAACTTCCATGGAAGTAGGTGAAAGCCGTCGAAACCAACTTCCATGGAAGCACCGAAACGTCCATGAAAGCAACTTCCATGGGAGTGTCTAAAAACGCGTTCACTTCAGCTTTCGTGGAAGCATTCCAGCTTACATGGACGCTGTCGACGAAGAATTCCATGGAAGCAGCGGGAAAAAGCTTCCATGGCAGTGGTCCACAACACCAAAGCTTTCATGAAATGGACTTCCAGGAAATCTATAACATCCACCTTCCATGGAAACATATCCTGCCCTTCGAGCTTCCATGGAAGTCGCTCTCAATCCTCTCAAAGGACGTCCATAGAAGCTTGTTCGTGCCGTTTCCATGGAACAAGGCGTCGAGGCCAACCTTCCATGGGAGTTTCTCCATACATACAGAGTTTTCCAGCTTCCTCCATCCATGGAAGCGTTGTGTGTCAGGGATGTCTACTTGTCCATGTGTGTGTGTACAGTAGCGAAGATCTATCACGACGGCAGCGCTGCAGCCAACTTAATTAAGTAGTAACCTAGTTATACATGAGCATTGATTGTGGGTGCACGCTACAAGGTATCAGCAGCCAGCTAGCTTGCAGTCGCGTGCAGTTTTATCTAGAGCAGATACCACACGCTGTAGTATGTGACGCTCTTGTACAGGGCTGTCAGGGAACGATCAGAATTGTCATCGGTGAAACCCTGAGGTAGGCGGTCGACTCTTTGGGGCCCCCAACAGTAAGTAGGAGTTTGGATCGAAAGCTGGCCAGCGCGCCTCCCTCTCTCCCTCACTCTCACATTCTACCATCAATCTCTGACCTTTGAGTCAGACGTTAACAACGACATCAACCACAGCTCCCACGGGCGGCTGTCGTTATGCACGACTCTTTTTTTGGCGGCGGCATCAGATGGACCGCCGGTAGATGGAAGGAATCTATCCAAACCAACACCCAGTTGCAGCTCTAGCAGCAGACCGCTCGCTACTTCTGCTGTCGTGCGTCGCTACTTCTGTGTAGAAATGTGTAGTGCCGAGGTGCCCTGTACCCAAGGGTCGTCTGCAGGCGGTGAAGCCTTTGTGCAGCACAGACAGAGTCTGCGTGATGCAGACCGAAGTCTGTTCAGACCAAAATCTATCTGTTGAGGCGACGACCGAAGGTCTGATGTTGTTGCTAAATGCCGCTTCGGGGTCTTGTACTTTCTTTCGCCTTCTTCAGCTTACTTGCAGAGTTGAGATGTTGAGGGATAGTTGGGAGTACGCCCGGTGGGACTCGCAACACCTCGTGATCTCGCTAAAATTCATTCTCATGTCATCAACGGGCTCCTCGCTATAATAACTCGTCGCTACATGTTACGTTCTACCAAACGTCACTCATTATAACGAATCTACGTACCATTGCGTACAGCAATCATGCTGCTGCATCTTTCTTCTACTAGTACTTCTTCCCCTCGCTCCTCGACAAGCTTTTGCTTAGACATGGGTTGTAGTGAAGGGGGGGGGGGGGGGGGG